TGTTCTCCTCGCCTGGATGCCCAGGGTGCTCACAGCTAACACCGTTTGTCACATTCAAGGCCAGGTTAGAAGCACTGGAATCCTACTCCGCCATGAGAGGGATGTGTGCACATATGGGGGAGGGTGGGAGTCTGAGAATAAACGCTGTGCAAGGACATGAATGCACCCATGTAGATTTGTATGTGCCTGCACCTGTGACACTGTCATCTGAGAGCGGCATTTCACACCTTGTGCCTTTGCTATTGTCAGGCGGAGAGGTACGGTTGATGGACAGCGGGGAGAGGACAGGATGGGGAACGTCCGCCGGATGAAAAAGGTTGTGACAGCTGACAGAGGGAGGGAGAAAGTGTTCATGCACCCCAAGAAGAGGAATGTCAGAGGTGGGAGGGGAGAGGATGGGGTAGCACAGATGTACAGTCCGAGACGGAGCAGGAGAACAGTGAGGGCAACACAACATTACAAAACAGCGATATCAACGGTGACTGAGCTCTTTTTCTGTGGTGAGATTTTAAAGTTTGAAATCTTTCCTCTGTATTGCTGTCAAGGGGCTTCCACATAACACGTTTGGTTGGGGAAATCAAATTTTCATCACTATATGTCCGGTTTCATTACCTCGAAAGAAATTCCTCTCCCCCTCTGACATGAAAACAGTGGGATAATAACCAGCTGCAACAGCAAAACATTTCAATATCCATATCCGTTCGAATCTACAGTGACTATGAATCTATACTAATGAGGTTTATCTCTCTGGTGATAAAAGGAGCTGACACAAATCCCTGCATGTATCTCCAGGGCCATGAAGTGTCTCTCCGCCAACTAAACACACCTCGGTGGTTTGTGCATTCTCGCTACAATGGTTTTTTTTCTCCCTTCTGTCAGTCTGTTACAGTCATTAGCAGCATGCTAATCAAGGCTAATTACATTGAGACAGGCAGACACAACTCATTTCTTATCAAGACAGAGTGCCGCTGTTGTTTGTGGTGCCTGGAAATGTTGCAGCACTAAATAAGGCACTGCTCATAATCAACAGCTTTTTGTTGTTAGATAAATTAATGCATCCATGTTGTCTATTTGATTTCCATTGTTACTGTTAATCGGTCTTTCCTAGGAGGCCATAAATCCATTTTTTTTGTGTCGACATGCAGCAGCTTACATTATTCTAAAGGGAAGGAAAACAGCAAAATCAATTAAGAAACTGTATTTGCTATTATGTCATAGATTATTCCACATGGTAATGATCGTTTCTAAGTGAACCAATGTGTGAATATATGAATAAGTGAATAATGAAAGGAGTAAATGAAGGAAAGACAAAGGGGGCAAGAACAGGAGGGCTTAGAAGAAAGGATGAAAGGGAAGAAAGAAAGATGATGTGTGAAAGGGAGGAAGGATATAAGGTTATCTAAGTAAAGGAAATGTGAAAAAACAGAGTCTTGTTGTAGGCAAAGTCTTCCAGGGCGATGGATTGCAAGCGTCAGGCAGTGCAGATCCCCCTCTCTGCCCCCCTATTCAAGTTACAAAAGCTCATTTTGGAGATTTTGCTGGCTTGGCAGAAAAGGCCTCTGTTCCCCATTTTCCATATTTCATATACGGCCCATTGGAAAGCATCGTCTACGAGTGTCATGGCTTGGCACATTTATGAGAGATGCATTGAAGAACTTATCACTTGGAAGATATGCGTAAGTTCAGCATTTTGAAATTGACTGTGCACTGTATTGTAATTCACTTATAAATTATGATCATCTGCATGATTATGCGATCAATAAATATGAGTCCTACTATTTATAAAAATGTGTATCACACAGTTGCACTCAAAATAATAACACATTTTATTTACATGGCTTTATATGTAAAAACTAAAAGATCAATCAAAAAGCAATGGAACAAAATAATGGGACAAGATACAGAAAAAACAATAAAAGGAGAAGATAAAACGGCATTCATAAGCATTATTCATGTCCAAAGCTAACATTACACTGCAGTCAGATGTAAAAAACAAACAGCCATCAATAGGCCTTTTTCACAGCAGACACTGACTCGTCATAGTAAGAAAAGCACAGGTAATACTAATAACATTAACAATTGCTTTGTTGTATTTAAGTGCCCCAGTAATTCATGACAGTGTGACAATGAGCCACAACAATACCAGGACCCTGGAAGCCAAGAAGCTATGTGGAATTTGTTAGACGACGTAAAACCAGTGGTGGAATGTAACAAAATACATTTATTCATATACTACAAGTATTTCAATATTATGCTACTTTAAACTTTAACCTTTCCCTACATTAAGAGTTGAATGTTTTACGTAACCAAATTTCCTGGCAGCTTTAGTTAGTAGATTCAGATCGTACATACAGTATACAATGTGATTAGTTTATTGAATATGACTAAACCTTGACAGTAAAAAAAGACTAGACTGGTCACCCTGAATGTTAAAGTATTGAGCTGCAGGTCCTGTCAACCATAGATTGCAGTCAACCCGGTTCAACAAAGCACAAATTTGGAGGACACGTGCAAAACATTCGGTTGGAAATCTATAATGTGAAACTGAGCGACAGGTGGACTATTGAGATTGGTAATCAAGGCATGAGAATATGAAAGCATCCTTATGCCTTGATTACCTACCTCAGTATTATACTTCTCAGGATAGTGTGTGTACACACTGTGTCTGACTGACATTGACTTGACTCTCTAGTTAGCTTTGTTATCCCTTCTGTCAGGATGGAAAATGTTCAACAGTTTACTGATTTTCATAGCGTAATTCCCAACATTCCCACCATCAACCGTTAAATTGGGTAAAGAATGACACCTAAATTCTTTTGTAAAGTTATCATCAGCTAAGTAGACGTGTAATTTAGTCAAATTCTCCAGGTAATTACTGTAAGTGAAAATGACACATACAACTCTTAGTGTAATGTGTTTGTGTTCAAATGTGTCATTCAACAGGAGGCACATGTACACTTTCCAACTGAGCTTAATTCACATTACATTTTGGAACTAAACTAGTATTTTAGAAGTACAAACACACCAGAATTTTGTTCAGGGCTGTAGTGTAGATTAATGGTCGATGCTCCGTCAAACAGCTGACCCCTGTCAACCCCGGTTTCGGCATGTTCAAGTGTCCTTGTGGAAGACACTAATCTACACTTAATGGACTGACCTCACTGAGGATACCGAGTTAATAGATTTTCTTGAGTCAGTGTCACATTATTTTACTGAAGACTGTCTTAAGTACAAGCAAGTGACCTCATCCTCACAGCTAGCATTAGCTGCTAACCCACTGGGCACTAAAGCTAAAGCACTAAGCAACTTATCAGGAGGCTTCCAGCGCGGGGCATTAAAGCTGACTGAGAGAGCAAGAGCGACATTGGCCCAAAGTCCTGCGTAGTCATCACTTCTCTCAGTATGGTGAAAAAGTGCCACTTTCATTCCCATGGTGATAAGGGAGAGTGAAAAGGCCGGAAACAGACCTGTGTAATGCTGATGGACATAGTCAGTCACTGAGTGAGCAGGGCTCGAGTGCGAATCGGGGGCTAAAAATGCAACATCAGCAGTGGTGGATTTACTTGGATGAATGGACTCGGCTCGACGAGGAGAGTGGGGGGTGGGGGTTTGGAGGGTGGTGGGTGTCAAAGCAAGTGGCTGAGACATGGCTAATACTGTCAGTGAGCTGTGGCCACCTAAGTAATTACTACCTTTGCTGTTAGGCTAATCCCCAGAGCAGAGCAGCAAACTCAGGAGAGAAAAGCTTAGAGCCTCTGTGGGGCTCCCGTCACCCGACTTCAATTACACAGACACGGACCTGTCTCTGAGAGAGAGAGGGGAAGGATGAGAGAGAGAAAGAGACGGCAAAGAAGAAGGGATGGTCTCATTTATGAGAGTCTTTACTCAATAGATAAATGATTCTGATTCTCTAAAAAAACTTTCTCTGGGGAGGGCTGAGCGTGTGTGATGTGTGTTTAATCAAAACAGATTGGGCCCATCAAGAACTCTTTCTTTTAACCTTTCCATTTCTCGCACTTATGCTTCCAACAAGCATTAGATGTTGAATGGAAATGTGGCTGAAATATATATTTAAAAAAAAAGATGGTCAGATCATCAAAAAACAGAGGACAGATTTGTAACCTGGTCTCTCTTAAACTGATACTGTTTTCATCAGTTTTCATCCATATCTCTTTCCATGTTTCCTGTCTATCTCATAAAATGCTGAAAACAATAATCCTAAAAACAAAACAAAACAAAGAAAACCAGTGTTTTCTGATGGTGATTAAAAAAAACATTGTTAATTTAAATCTATAGGTATATTTCTCAAATTATATTTTATATGTGACTATACATACAATGTATATGGTTTATTATTTAGTGATTGTGCCGTAAAGTACCAGAGGACTAGATATCTTTGTTAATCATTTAAAGATGTGAACATTTTTTCTATGGTCAATTTTTATAACAGAAACATAATACAAATATGAGAAATATATAAAGAGAGAGAGAGAAAAGCTATGCGGAAAAAAACGGAAATACATAATTTTTTTATAAAAAAATTAAAATCACATTTAAACCATATATTTACTTATTTTGGATCAGATTACTCGGGTCAACAATAATGTCTTCTTAAACGATTGCGAAGTAAATAAATAAAAGATAATTTTAACAAGACAACTATTTGATGGAAACCAATTTTGAAATGCAATCAGTGAAACTCAAACATTTAAACCATCAAACAAAACAGAAAATAAACTTCACCATCTGAAGCTTGTTTTTAACCTACTGTATAGGTTCACTAACTATAAGCCACTCTCTGTGTTAGTATACAGAAATAAAGAGATTTCACAGCAGTCTGCTGATGCTATACAACTTCAAACTTCAAAAAGAAAAGTGATTATTTAATACAGCAAGCACTCCCCTGTCCTCTCTTGCCAGTTACTAAACATTACAACAAAGTCTACAACAAGCCGGCTCAGCATCACTCTGTGTGAATGAACTGCTGCTGTGAGGGTTACCTTTGCGTTCGGAGCGTTTCTTGCGCCTCCTCTTGAACCTGCGTCGGATCAGGCAGTAGTAGGAGCCCAGATTCTGTGCGCCGTTGGTAAGAAGGGCCATGGCTTGGTCAGCACTTACACCGTTAGAAAATCAACCAAAGCTTTCTAACACTAGACTAACCTGGACCAAATTAAACTTCAGCTGCTGGGATCTCACTGTGAACACATGGTCTACCTTGTCCTTCACCTCTGACAGCAAGTGCTCTCACACTTCTTCCAGTTTGTGCTGCCAAAAGCTAATGATATTCAGAACTCCACACACCTGCAGCGTTTCTTTGTTTCTACTTTAGTCCTTCCCTTGTATCCGAACTCTTTTTCCCTCCCTCCCTTTCCTCCTCCTCCTCTCGCTGTTTCCCTCCTCTGTTGACTCCATCTCTGCCCTATCAGTAGTCAGAGAGGAGAGGCGATGGAGTAGAGTGTGAAAAAGAAGGAGGGGACTAGCGGAGGAGGGAGACTCATGTTTTCATATGGTTGTGAATTAACACCAGGAGCAGAATAAAAACCCTTCTCAAAGTAACTGACAACAAGCCAAAAATAATCCCTCAACCCCTCAGTGAAAACACGTGTGTATGCTAAAAACAACTCCAATATGCTCACACTCTCTCACATTCACACATATTCAAACCTGCTGATATGAAAAAGTCTCACCCTTGCAATCAGGTTTTTTTTTTCTCTCACATCGCCCCTTTTACTGTAACTTTAAGATTTACATTTCTTGTGCTTGTCTACCTTGGAGACTCACTCAGGAGCATGAGGATGAGAGGCATCTCAAAAAGAAACACTCTGCCTTCCTCTAGTGGCCATTTGTTGTAATTACACCTCTGATTGTACTGAACCACATCCAAGCACCAACATTTTAGTCCATAGATGTCTAACTAATGCTTAAAATGATGTTGTGCTTGATTAATGATCATTATTGAAAGTTATGTTCCAAATGGTACAAAAGAGCCTATAAGAGGGTCGAATTGTGTTGTAGAGAAAGACAGAAAGAAAAAGAAAAAAAAAGAAACGTGCCCGAAGTGAAAACAGAAGTGGAAGTAGAGAAAGAAAATAACTCACCTTTGGCTCAGTTTTGGTGTCTGTGATTGGAAAAACCTGATGGAGAGAAAGAGAAGATGTTCCAAGTAAGTAAACAGCAGAGCTTCTGGCTGACTCCAGAGTTTCTGTCAAATATCTGGATTATTGACAGTAAAAGTGTGTTGTAAGGACGTCATGCAACCAAGTCAGTGGTAGACAGAGGGCAAGAAAAGGTACACACACTAGATTCATGCTCCATTAGCTGTGATTATGAAGCCAGGTTTCCACCTCAGCTGGTCTTTCCCAGCCATACACTGGCTGAATTGTTCCAAAAACCGGTGTTTCTGGCCGGTCACAGCAATTGTTTGAAGTAACGGAATGCAGGTTTTCCCCTGAGTACAACTGGATCTATTATTTTGCTGGAATACAGTTTTTCTTTTCTAATTAATTCTGCGCGATTAAAACTGGGTGTTGCAGTGCTTCCTTGTGAGCTATACATTTGGCAAACACAAGGCTTCTATTAAAGAGATTTAATGTGGTGGTTTATGTGGCCAGTTCTTACACAGAACATTGATCTCAACTAGACCAACTTTCCAAAGAATAAATAAACATGTTAATACAATGTGTTACCTGGAAAATAAAGGTAAACAAAAGTTCCAGACATCAGCAGACCCCAGCCAGTTATCTCTAAACATGCTGTATAAATCCCATTTTATTCCTCTCAGATCATTGGATTCAACAATTAAAATGTCTACACATTATACATACTGTTTGCTGTTTCAGCAGCCGACTAGAATTTTAGACTAATGACACTGTAGTCTGTGGGATAAATGGATGTACAAGTAGCATTTATTGGTAATGATGCTGATGGTAAATAAGTAGTGATCAGTATATTCTGCACATTCCAGTCATATAGTAATTTGACAGTCGCATGTTTTCCTTGTTTTGGCTTTACTTTAGCACACAGGATTTTAATTTTAACAATGACTTTGAGTTAGTGGAGGGGTTTGAGGGTAGCAGAAGGTGTCACACTGAATGACCCTTTATATACAGTTCCCCAATTTTAGGAGGATGCACCCTAACAGGACAATGATTCTAAACGTACAGACCAGGGCTGTGCAATATGGCCAAAATATCATATACTTCATTTCACATCCAGATAACGATACATATCACAATATACAACATTTTCTGTCAATTCAATGAAAAAATCGTTTTTTGCTTTTATTGGATAGGACAGCTGAAGATAGATAGGACACGCAGCAAAGGGCCACAGGTCAGACTCGAACCCTGGGCCGCTGCAGCAAGGTCTCGGCCCTTGTACATGGGGCGCCAGCTATACCAGGTGAGCTATCCGGGCACCCAAATGAATAAATAGTTTCAATAAAATTACCACATGGAAAGTACACTTTCATGGGCCATGTCAGACCTTTCATGCCCAGACCACATCCATGCGACACATTTAGCCCCTCTTAGATATGAGCTACTTGTTTTGTCTGAATTATGTTGTTCTGTGTCAGGTTCCCACTCCTCCATGTTTGTTTGTGTTGCCTTCACGCAAATTTTCTGATTGCATCTGTGCCATGTGGAAGAGCATGAAGCGTCAGGTACTATTACAGTTACAGTTTACATATTGCAATTTAGATTCTGAATGGGTCACTTGAATCCTCCAAAATGCAAAATAAATAAAAAGACGTGAAAAATAACTTGATGCCCACAAAATGCCAACTAAAAATAACAGTAAATCTACAGGCGGGTATGAAAAAAAAAAAAATCCTTAAAGCTCCATAGCCCTCTCTGGTAGATACAGCAGCTGGGGATAGAGATGATAGTAAAGGAATAAGAGACGAGGAGGGAGAGAAGAAATAGAGCCATAAAAGCTTGAGAAGAGTAAAGGAAATAGGAAGGCAAGATATAGAGAAAAGCCCTTGAGTGAGAACGTAAGATAAAGAATGAGGCAAAGCAGGCCAGAGACGTGAAAATTAAAGAGTGGGAGATGAAGTTGGATGAAGTGAGGAAAGGTAAGATGAGGTGAGGAGTTAGATATAAAGAAAAAAAAAAAGTTTCCATGCAAAAGCGAAGAGCCGTCTCAGTAGGATCTCTAACCTGTGGGGTCGTTTAAGGTCAGTGAGGCTGTCTTCACTGCTGCCCAACTCCTCCACAGCTCCCCTCCCGCTGCTTGATGTAAAATGTTCTTCAAAAGTAAATGAAAAGGTTTTTGGATAGAGCCTTACCAATTAAGCACATGAACTTAAACTGAGCGGAAAGAGCGAGAAAGATGTTCCAACAGAAAGAAAGTGAGACAGCAACTGAGAACAGAGAGAGACAGAGAGAGAGAGAGAGAGAGAGAGAGAGAGAGAGAGAGAGAGAGAGAGAGAGAGAGAACGGCAGATGGTTAGAACAAGAAAAAGAGAGCCAGCCAAAATATTCGGGATAAGAGTTGTGGGGCAAGAGAGAGAAAGTCAGCCTGAGAAAGGAGATGATGAACTTAAATATACTCCAGACGCAAATTCATTCATGCTTCTGTGTATAAGCCAACGATAACTATGGCTGGCCAAGTCTCGCCACAACTGCCTTGGCTGGGTGACTGTTTTTTGTTTTGCTTTGTTTTCTGAAGGGGAGACTAGTCAGTGCGCTTTTTCCTCCGTATTCTAATTTATAGAGACTGTGCAAAAAAGCTGCAGACATGGGAGAATAGAGTGAGTGCATGCCCCACAGAGGCACATGTCGAGATTTTTACCCACTGCTCTCTCTGTTGGCATTTTCAACACATACTGAACGTACAAGAGGAAAGAGGCTGCGGTTATGGAGCCAATACTTTGTGGTTATCCAGCCTGGATTTAAAGCCATTCCAGACTCCGAATAACAACTCAACTCCTGGTGGCCTTTGCAGCGGTTTGACAGAGAAACACAACCATTGACAAAAACAACCTCTTAAACAGTTTGAGAGGCAAGCAATCCAGGCTACTGTGGTGAGCCCATCTGTTGGTTCATACGGTAGATGTACTCACAGTCAACTAAAAAGCACAAAGCTCTAAAAATAGACTCAGTGGGAACAGTTTTTTCTTTCTAAAGCCGCTCGTCAGAATTTATAAGCCAGTTCAAGGGATGCAGACTTTTACGAGCTAAATTGAGCTTCACCAGTAGCGGCTTCCAATTCCTGACTTCTGTTCAACTACCAAATTGACCGAAATGTAGTGTAATAATGAAGTTCATCCATACGCCAGCAAGGGGAGACACTTCACGGGGGGTCAACATCATTAAACTCGTATGATGACATTCTTACTTTTACAATGAGCAAACAAGACCATTAAGCCTTACCAAGATATGCTCATTAGTATTTATAAGCATTCCTCATTAAAAAATGGGTCCCAGAAACCAAAAGCTACCCGTCTAACAAGGTATTTTGAAGCAAACAAAAACTAACGAACATCTGGAGAAGAATATACGAAAAAGGAAACAAACCTCAGAGCGTTCCCTCAGATGAGATTTTGACAAAAGGCCTACGCTTTCCTCCTCCTCTTAAAAATTTACCAGCGTGTTTCAGCTGCATGTCAAAGCAATTATCTCAGGTCACTGAGGAGAACCAACTAAAAACCTGACATGTAGATATTAGCGTGTCCTACGATGCCTGAATCAGGAGGCAGATGAAAAATGTCCAGGCAGGAGTGGAGTTTCATTGCCTTGTGAGGAAGTCACGTTCCTAAAGCAGCACTCACTGAACCTCATCTTGAGTTTGGCAAGAGAGAGAAAGAGAGAGAGAGAGAGAGAGATTGTGTGTTAGAGATTAGTAGAGACACAGAGGGAGAGCCTTTGAGAGCTTTTGGGAGTCGAGAGCAAGCGTAGCGTGTGTGTGGTGGTCATATTAGGATCTAATAGCTGTGGTCCTTCTCTTGGGCCTTTGAAGACAGAGAGATACGCGGGGCTTCGGCTAACTTGACATAAGTGATCAGAAGAAGGCTGCAGAGGAGTTAAAAGCCATTTGAGACTGGGCTGGACAAAAATTAAGTCAGGGAGGTTTGATTATGAAAGAGAGAGATTATGAAAGAGACAGGCAGCCCAGTCAACTGCGCATGATAAGGGGAGTGCGTGACTGTAACCCTCGACTCCCAGTCTTCATCCAAAAACTAGGCCAGTGGCTTGCTAACCACTAGCCACACACACACACACACACACACACACACACACACACACACACAAAACGACGCATGCTAGCCAGGGTCCTG